GGGGGAGAGCCTTCTCTGTCGGAGCACCCACCCTCTGGAACGAGCTGCCCCCAGAGATCCGGGTGATTCCGGATCTCCCCTCCTTCCGCCGCGCCCTCAAGACTTGGTTGTTTCAGCGGGCAGGACTGGCCTAGGGGCATTTTAATTGGTTTTAACTAAATTTTATTAGAAGCGGCCTATTTAAATATTTATTTTTAATAATTTTCTTAAATTTTGTATTGTATTGTATAAATTGTATTGTATTGTATAAATATAAATTGTATTGTATTGTATAAATATTTTTAATAATTTTCTTAAATTTTGTATTGTATTGTATAAATTGTTTTTAAACTGGCTGTAAGCCGCCCTGAGTCCTCCGGGAGAAGGGCGGGGTATAAATATAATAAAATGAAATGAAATGAAATGAAATGAATTGAGAAGTACACACGCAGGAGTATGCATTAAACCTACTTTGCAGGTCCATTATAAGCCTAGGGGTGGCATTCAGACAACATACTAACCTTAGTTCATTATTTGCGGTTTACAAATAGTAGCGTTTAGGACTTCCCATTCCTTTTCTAGATTATGAGACATCAGCAGGACTGCTTTTATGTTTATTACAAAAACATTGAAACACATTTCCAACCAAAGCATTCCTGCCCCACAAAAACCTTTCAAAGGGGCATCAAATTTATTAAAGCTCAACCTGCAGATAGGCCTGAGAACTATGGATCTGAAATGAACCAAACCAATTCTGGAAAATCAGGACTACATTCTTATAATAAGAGCCAATATAATGTCACGTTCTTTAATCATCTGAACATTGAGGTTGCGATGCCGTTTCAGGGCTCTCCTGGTGGTCTCTTTTCTCAACTTCTGGTTCTCTACTCCTAAAGGTTTGTCCTTGGCTGAAGACTAGGTTAAGGTTTTTCTCCCGGTTAGACTTCTCAGTGGCCCACCTTTGCAGCACTGCTTGTGGCCAGTTGATTTGGTAATAGTACTGTTCAACCTTGGGGGCATGTAGAGGGTCTTTTTCCTTATGAACATCTGTAGTTATCTGAGGTTGAAACACCAGAAGACTACGGTTACTCTTCACAGGCGGTACATTTTGGTCATATTTTTCCGATTCTTTGGCAAGGTCCTCCCCTGCATCTTTTGCAGGAATTAGAGGCAATTTTGGGGCATCTACTCCTGTGGAGAGGTGAAAATCAAGAGAACACCACAATGTCTTAAGACTGCAAGGAAGAAGCCTCCATAATACAGCCCACAATGGCTATACTCAACCTTGGCTGATCTTGAAAAGCTAAGCAGAGACAAACCTGGTTAGGTCTTTGATTGGAAACAAACCAGGAAATATCAGGTTTGTAGATGAGGCTGGAAAGTCAAAAAAAAAACAACTTGAGGGAGACAAAGGGTTTGGGTTAGGGTTGAGTCAGCCTGGGATGAGTTGAATTCAAATGGACAATCTTTTGTCTGGAATGGTATAGGGCCGGGGTAGGCAACCTTGGCTCTTTTATGACTCGTGGACTTCAACTCCCAGAATTCCTGAGCCAGCCATTCTGGGAGCTGAAGTCCACGCGTCATAAAAGAGCCAAGGTTGCTTACCCCTGGTATAGGGCATGGGTGTCAAACTTGCCACGTCATGTGACGGGTCACGAAGTATTGCGACTTTTTTGGAATTGCCAGAGCTGGGGTGGATGCGGCCTCCATATGATGCAACCGGCTCACAGGCCAGCAGTTTGACACCCCTGGTATAGGGTCTCCTGCCTGAGCAGGGGATTGGACTAGAAGACCTTTAAGGTCCCTTCCAATTCTGTTATTCTGTTCTGTTCTGTTCAAATGACTCTTTAAACATTTTAGTAGCGAGAGGAAATGGATTTAATAATAAAAATGTGGTTTTTCATGGTTTTTTGAGTTTGATGTTTATGGATATCAGAAAAATGCCCACTTTTTGTGATTTTCTTTAAAGAAATCAACTGAGGGAAAGACCTGGGATTAAATTTGGTAGGAAACAAAATCCTCTTTGGAAACAAGTAAGGAAAGATACATGCCAACATTTCCACTAAGCTATCTACAGTTTTAAATACAAAGCAAAACAATCTCCATGGAATGGAAGGACAGACTTCCTTCTGTACAGGCATTTGCCAAATTGTACTGTTTACATGTTTTGTTTTGTTTTTGGTCAGGAAGGCAAAATTCTGTGACAGCGTAGGAGAAGGAAAGATCAGACCATCTGCCCAGAATGGAACTGGAGGCAATGGAACCTCTTGGGATTATTACACTGAAAAGAACTGCCAGGTTTGTTTTTTTTTTGTGGGGAAAAAAAGCAATTTAGTACAAGGTTTGGCTCAGAGCCTAATATAATTTTTTTTCCTTAAAATGTTCTGACTACACAATTAGGAGACTCAAATGAATTAATGACACCTGCATCCCACCACAAAGGTAAAAATATCCATATTCTTATAAAGCAGGCACGGAACACATCAACCAGGATTGCATATCAACTTCTTGATTGCATATCAACTTCTCTATCTATATTTGGGAAGTCTTTTTTTAAAAAAGGCTGATGATGGCCCCGTGTTCTTGATTTTTGCTTAATATTGAAAATATTGTCTTCTAGGACCTTATTCATACCCTTAATATATTTAAAGGTTTCAATCATGTCCTCCCTTTCCCTCTGTCCTCCAGGCTGTACATATTCAGTTCCTCCAGTCTCTCCTGATATGTATACAAACACACAACACACACACACACAAACACACAAAGAGAGAACAAGAGAGAGACTATCAGACACATATCAAAGAAGTTATAAGATCACATGCGGATATATGTATATAATTTTTTTAAAAAAACAATTTTGTCAAAGGAA